ATCCTCTGACATTCACACCTTATATTTATTCAAGAGAATATATCAAGAAAATGAATGCTCCAAGAAATATTAGCATTGTCATGACGCTGCTGCACGTGAATAATATTTTCACCAATCTGTGTCCCTGAATGGCCTGTCATGTGTTTCATATGTTTCTCTCATGTAGCATTTGAAAACATACTTGGGCCTGTACTTTATCTTCATCGATAGCTCCTAATAGCTCCCTTAGTGATGGGGGTGAGAAGACACAGCATCAGGGTCACAGACACCAAGTGTTTGTTGAAGGCAAACAGCAGAATCATTTATTCAGTACCAGGGAAGGCCTTATAAGCTCTCCTCCCAGCACCCAGGCTGTGTCCTGATCTGGTGACATTGTGAGGTCATCCCTCATTGGCTGGGCATGATCAGGAACTCTGATAGTGCCTGTTACTAGGTGCCCAGGCAGACTCTGCATGATCAGGAACTGTGAAAATGACTAGGAAATCTGATGGCGACTTTGCTAGGTCCTCAGACAGACTCAAGGTTGGCTCTAAAGGAGTAAAGAGTAAGTAGCCATGCCTTGGCTACTGGTCTGAGCCAATTTCCTCAACCCTGTGGGCCTTTAGATTGTGAATTGTTAAATCTAGTCAGTGTAGCGTATGCAACACTTAAGCAGATGTGTTCGTCATATTTAAGGATTCATTACTCATGATGTTTCTTCACTTTTCCTAGAAATGAAGTGATTGCAGCTCCTCAGTCAATTTTATTTTTTCTGTTTACATGTCATACATGATAAATAGAAGAGACTATACAACTCTATGAACTTTAAAATACATATGGATATTTTCTTAATGATTTCAGGTATAGTTTTTGTTTTACAGATGTTTTAATGCTTCTTCTTTTTTTGAGTTATTGTAACAGTTTTCCCATTATATACTTGTTTATTTTCTCTGGATAGGCTATTTTTATTAAATGGTTATTTTGTTTATTATATTGAATTCTGACAAAGATCTTTATTTTACTTTAACACACCAAATCAGTCGATTCATTGAGGACAGGTGTCTGCGAAGTATAAGATATACAAAGTTAAAATGTCATTCATTTACTCAGTAATTTTTACTTCAGTTATTCAGGAATGGAAATGGAAATCAAGAAATTTCATTATTTTCTCTTATTTCAGAACAATGTTCTAGTTGAAAAACACAATTATTTACCGTTTTTGAGGCTATCTCGTATATTTTCTCTTGGGATTCCAAATGAAACAGCGATTCTCACATAGATGTCCCATAATTCTTTAGTGAGGCTGGTTTCTTTTGCTACATTAAACATAAGAAGTAAAAAGAGATAACCATTAGAAGTATGACTGTTTCTGAATTTTGGATCCCCCAAATTTATTGTCTAGACCTATATAACTTCATTGATTTTTAAATTTAGTTTGTTGAGTGTTCTGTGAATTTGAGGGAAATACACTTTGTTGATAAATCCACTCAGATCCACCACCCCTTTTCTTCTTAATCAGTACACACATACACAGCAAACAAATACACGCAGTTCTTTTTTTTTGGTTTTTTGAGACAGGGTTTCTCTGTGAAGCTTTGCCCCTTTCCTGGGACTCACTTGGTAGTCCAGGCTGGCCTCGAACTCACAGAGATCCACCTGCCTCTGCCTCCTGAGTGCTGGGATTAAAGGCATGCGCCACCACCGTTTGGCCAACACACTCCTGTTTTAATAACCTATCAACTCTGATTTGTGCTGATGATATTGTAATGGATGTGAAGCTTTCTACTTCAGAATAGTCAATCTATCAGAGTTTTCATTAATCATTCCCTTTGAGAATATTTTTACAAAACACCAATGCCAACCTCATATTTGATATTTAGAAATTAAATAAAACCAAAATTCTCACCTCATTAAGGTCTAATATCCAAAACACACATACTGAACAAAAGAAGTGAAATAAGAAATTTTCACCTGATAAAATTTATTATCAAAATATACATATAACAGAAAAAATTTGATAAATAAAACAAAAATTCTCATCAGATAATGGTCTAATATGCAAAATATACAAATTGTCTTCTGATAAAAGTCTAATATAAAATATGTACTTATTTAACCCAAGAAATTAAATAAAAAATTTTACCTAATTAAGTCTGATATCAAAAATATACATATAGAACACAAGTAATCAGAAAAACAAAAATTGCACATGTGTAAAAATTCAAATATCAAAAACCTTATTGAACACAAGAAATTCAGTAAAAAAGAATCTTATCTGATAAAAGTCTAATTTCCAAAATATACATTTGGAACACGGAAATCAAATAAATAAAACAAAAATTATTACATAAAAAGGTCTAATATCCAAAATATACTCATTGAAAACAAGAAAGCAGACAATTAAACAAATATTCTCATCTTATAAAATTCTAAATACAAAATGAATACATTGAACAAAGAAATTAGAAAACCAAATTCATACCTGTAGCACTAATATCCAAAATATACACACTGAACAAAAAAATCAGATAAATAAAACAAAAATTCATGTCTGAAAAAACTTTAATATCCCCTACGTATACATTCAATGCAAGAAACCATATAAATAAGAACAAATTCTCATCTGATAATGTAATAATATAAAAAAATACACATTGTTCACAACAAATCAGATAATTAAAATAAAAAATATCAACTGATCAAGATCTAATACCAAAATTATACATATTAAACACAAGAAATTAAATAAAATAAAATTGTCCTCTGATAAATATTTAAAATTCAAAATATACATATTGAACACAAAAAAATCAGTTCAAAAAACAAATATTCTCATCTGATAAAGGTCTAATAGCCAAAATATATATATTGAACACACGAAATCAGATAAATAAAACAAAAATTGTCATCTGATAAACATCTAATATCAATAATATACAATTGAACACATGAAATTAGAAAAACAATATTCTTACCAGTAGGTATAATATATGTTTTAAAACATATATTGAACAAATGAAATCAGATAAGTAAAATAAAAATTATCATCTGATATAGGTTTATTATCATATATATATATATATATATATATATATATATATATATATATATTCCACATAATAAAGGTCTAATATCAAAAATATGCATATTGAACACAAGAAGTTAAATAACACCAAATTCTCACCTGATAAATATCCAAATCCAAAGTATAAATATTGATATCTAGAAATCAGGTAAATAATATAAAATTTCTCATCTGATAAAGGTCTAATGAAGAAAAAAATTACATATTGATCACAAGAAATCAGACAAATGAAACAAATATTTTCATCTGATGAAGGTCTGTTATCCAAAATATACATATTGGACATAAGAAATCAGATAAATAAAACAAAAATTCTCATGTGATAAAGGCCTAATATCAACAATATAAATATTGATCCTAAGAAACAGGATAAAACAAAAATTATCATGTGACAAAGGTCTATTATTAAAAATATACATATTGAACATAATTTGATTAATAAAACAAAAATTTTCTAATGATAAAAGTAAAATTCAAAAACTCCATGTTGAATACAACAAATCAGATTAACAATAGTTCTCATCTGATAAATGTCTAATATCCAAAATATACATATAGAAAACCAGAAATCAGATAAATAAAAGAGAAATTCACATCTGGTAAAATCTAATATCCAAAATATACATATTGAAGGTAATTATATAAATAAGACAAAATTTCTCATCTGATAAATGTCTAATACCAAAAATGGACACATGTAACCAAATAAGTTAGATAAAACGATAATTCTAACTGGTAAAGTTGTAATATCTAGAATATACATATTGAACACAAAAAAATCAGATAAATAAAACAAAAATTATCATCGGATTATGGTCTAATATCCAAAATACACAAATTGAACATAATGAGATAAATAAAACAAAAAATCTCCTCTGAATACGGTCTAATATCAAAAATGTACGCATTGAACACAAAAAATTAAATAAAACAAGTCCCATCTGATAAAAGACTAATATCAAAAATACACATATTGAACACAAGATATCAGATGAATAAAACAAAAATTCCCATCTGATAAAAGTCTGTTATAAAAATATACATATTCAACCTAATTAGGTAAGTATAACAAAAATTCTCTTCTGATAAAGTCTAATAACTTAATCATGCATATTGAATACAAAATTTAAATAAAACAAAAATTATCATCAGATAAGTCTCTAATATGCAAAATATACATATTGAACACAATAATTCAGAAAAAAATAAAAAAATATTCTAATGTGATAAATGTCTAATATCAAAAATACACTTTTGAACACAAGAAATTGAATCAACCAAATAATTTTCATCTGAAAAGTGTCGAAAATCCAATATATACATAGTAAACTCAGGAAATCAGATCAATAAAACAAAATTTCTCATTTGATAAAGGTCTGTTATCCAAAACATTCATATTAAATTCAAGAAATGAGGTAAATAAAACAAGTATTCTCATCTGATAAAGGTCTAATATCAAAAATATACTTATTGAGCATATGAAATTAAATAAAACAAAATTTCTCATCTGATCAAGTTTAATATCCACAATTACATATTGAACAGAAGAAACTAGATAAATAAAAGAAAATTTCTCATCTGATAATGGACTAATATCAAATTTGCACATATTGAACACAATTAGGTAAATAAAAAATTATTCTGTTAGAAGTCTAATATCCCATATATACATATAGAACATAATTAGTTAAATAAAACAAAATTCTCATCTGTTAAAAGTTTAATATCCAAATAAACTTATTGAAGACAAGAAATCAGAAAAACAAAACAAAAATTCTTGTGTGATAAAGATCTAATCTTTAAAATATATATATATTGAACTCAAGATATCAGAAAAGTAAAACAAAAATTGTCATCTGAGAAAGTTGTAATATCCAAAACATACATATTAAACAAAAAAATCAGCTAAATAAAACAAAAATTCTCATCTGGTAAAGCTCTAATATCCAAAATATAAATATTAAAACCAAGAAATCAGAAAAATAAAAAAAAAAATCTCATCTGATGAAGATAAAATATCCAAAATACACATACTGAAAACAATTAGGAAAATAAAAAAATTCTCATCTGATCAAGGTCTAATATCCTACATAACCTATTGAACAAAAAAATCAGATAAATCAAAAAAAATTCTTCTGTAATAAACATATAATATCATAAATATACACATTGAACACAAGAAATTAAATAAACAAAAATTAAAAACTCATGAATATCTGATATCCCAAATATACATACTGACCACAAGAAATTAAATAAAACAAAAATTCTCCCCTGATAAAGGTCTAATATAGAAAATATACATATTGAACACAAGAATTCAGACAAATAAACAAAAATTCTCTCATGATAGTGGTCTAATATATTATATATATATATATATATATATATATTGAGATTAACAGATCAGATAAATAAAGCAAAAATTGTCATCTGATAAAAGTCTAATACCCAAATAATTCATATTGAACACAAGAAATCTGAAAAAGAAATAAAAATTCTTATGTGATAAAGGTCAAATATATTTATTGAACACAAGAAAATAAAGCAAA